TGAGACGGGATCTTGGAAGTAACCCAGGCAGATGGAGCAGGAGGCTTCGCCGTGCAGGCTTTCCGCCGGGCTCCCCGTTGCCATGGCTCTTCCCAACTTGCCTCCGGGATAGGATCAACGGAGCTTCGCTTTGCGGGAAGAAGTGACCTTCCCCCTTCTGGCTCGTTTTCTCGTTGTAAATGGGGGAAATCGACTCTCGGCCCAAACGCCACGGGAAAGGGGCACGGAGAGGAGCGAGAAGAGGGCGTGCGATGCTTCCTCCCGCGGGTTTCGGATCAGCTGACTTGGAGCCAGATGTGGGTTAGGAGATAGGAGGCTGGGGGGCAGGGCCACTCTTCAGCAGAGAACCAGGACAGGCTGGAGAAGCAAATGGGGAGAAACCGCATGAAATTTGGGGCGGGATACTCTCCTGCACCAGGACCAACCACGGAACAAGACTTTGGAGAAGGGACAAGTTGTCCGTGAGTGGGCGGTGGGACGACGCACCAAAGATACCCCCTTCCCATCCATCCATTCCGGTCAGGACTCCTCCAGGCATTGCCTCGTGGTGGGACCAGGATGGGAGAAGCAGGGACCAGGATGGGAGAAGCAGGAAAGGAGGCAGCAGAGCAGTTTGGGGTAATCTTTGGGGGGGAGAAGAGCTTGTTTTACTCTATATTTTTGATTTAAGACTCCGGATTGGTTGGGCATGCGATCAGCTCACTTACTTGCCAAAGGAAGTTTGAACTCCATCCAGTATGCCTGGCGGGAAGAGAAAGGGGAAAAATAAAATGTGAGAGGCAGAAAGATAAATTGGTCCGATTCTAGTTTCTGCAAAAAATCCAGAGAGGCAGGAACAAATCTGGCAGGAACAGTTCTGGGGAAATGTAGAGAAACAAGAGGAGAAAACCAGGATTACGCGTAGGAAATTCACCCATGCACCCTCGTTCGATGACGGGGGGGTGTTTCTTTCCCATGGATTCGCTCCATCCCTCCCTCCCGAGAAAGAAGATGACCGTTTCCCCTTCCGTACCTTGAAATTCCTTTGCAGACTTCTCGACCGTCGCGGTTTTCTCTTTGAAACGACAGAATCTCTTTTCCAGCTGAGGGGAAATATCGAGTGGCCAGGAGAGCTTTTCCCTCTTGCACCTGGAAGGAAAGAACGGGAAGAGGGGGGGTGTGAATTTACACCTGGTTGTAGTTTGCTACTCCATGTAGCGGGGGGAATTAGGGGAGGGAGGGTGATGGATCCGCGCCGTGTTGCGCCCCTGAGACCGAATCGCTCCACGTCGTCTCATGTCACCCTTGGAGACGTTTATTGATTCCCTTCGGCTGTAAAAGGATGAGGGGGTTGCGTCAGGGTCCTAATGGGAATTCACAACCCTGAGCAGCCCCACCTGGGACCCCCACGCCCCCACCCATGCTCCAGGGGCTCTATTTAAGCTCAGCCCTGAAGCATTTGCTCCTTTCACGAGCTGTTTTGGAGGAGCATCCACTCGTGGTCATGGACCCTGTGGATCCATCCTGCGGGCTGCTGCCTCGGTTTGCCCCCAGCCCTGCCCGTGGGGACCTGCCTGATGCTCTGGGCTGCTTCCAGCCCTTCTTGGCTCTCTCAGGTACGTGGAATGGGACTATGGCCAATAGTTGCTTTGATACGACTAGATGTTGACTTGGAGAACGTAGGAATCTTCTGGAATGGAGCCCTGTCCGCCCCGTTCAGCCCATGCAGATGACGGAGCTGTCAGTGCCGGTATGTGTCTGAGTTTATCCTTAATTAAACAGAGAGGAAGAGCCCTCCCTCCAAACCTCAGCGTCCTCAGTCAAGCCCAAAGGCTATCCTGCGAAAGGGCCAACCTCTCCCTGCGTGATTTCTCCCCGTTTCTCGCTCTGTGGTGGTGAAATTTTGGTAGGAGGATGATGCACCTGCTCAAGGTGGCTTTGATGTCCTAGACGAGAGAGAAAAAGGGATTTAGTGGTCTGGAAAACACCTCCCCTTGGAGTACTGGGGTCCCACTGCAATGAAGATCCCTCTTTTAGCATATTGGGGTAGAAAACTGAGAGTTGGAGACCAAAGTGGTGCTCAGCCAGTGCTTTCACAGCAACTGTGGGAAGTCTGGGGTCTCTCCTTCAGGATTCACCACTTGGCTGTTGGTGTCTCCTCTCCACCCCCCAGTCAGCGCCGCCCAGGCGCGTGATCCTCTCCAAAAGCCTGGTGAGGGTTTCTTTACGTGTGTTCATTATCTCCATGTCCAGCTGGGCCAGGAAAGAGGATTCCTGATCCTCCAGGAACTTGCATATCTGTCTGTTTGGTCACGACGTTCTGCTTTTCATCTTCCGTCCTCTTCTGCCAAGGGGAAAAGAGGGCGAAGGAAAGTAGAGAAGTGAGACAAGAGTATCGGCAGCGGGTTGTGCCTTAGTGGGATCCACCAAAAAGATGGATTTGGGGAAGTTAGAAACCCACTTGCCCTTTCTCCACACCCTTTGACCATCCCCCACCCATGGGAGACAGGAAGATGAGGTGCTCCTCCTTTCTTTCCCCCATCCTCTGCCAAGGAAAACTGACGGACACCTTCAGCGTAGCCCTGGATTCTGCCTTCCTGATCCTCCACGGAAGGTTGAAGCGCTTCTTGCTCTAATTCCAGAAGCTGCAGTTGGGTCTGAATTCCCTCCTGAGAGGGAAGCAGTAAGTGCCTTATTTAGTGATGTCGTTGCTTGGCATCACAGGTGGGCTCTTTGCTATTGCAACATCAACGGTGCTTTCTGGTCCACAGCTGGTTCAAAGCCCATCCCGGGTCTTTCCAGCTTTTCTGCTGCAGGACGAAACCAATTTCAGCTTGGCCTGAGCTGCTCGCAGAGATGTCGTTGTTGGAAAGTCCCTTGTGAGGGGTGAAGCCAGGAAGGAGAGGGGAAAAAAAAAAAAAACCCAGACCACAACAAACACAAACAATGCAAAAATTGGAGCGGGGTCCATTCCAGCAGGAGAGCTTTCCCATCTAACACCAGCTGGTCCCAGACAGATGGGTCTGGCACCTGCGGCTGCTCCTGCTGTGAAAGCTTTGATCCTGGGAGGGTGGCGTTTCCTGGGAGAAACAACACCCCCATGTGAAAAGTGGGATTTTTTTCTCAGCTTAGTCTTGGGTCAGATGTTGATAATTGATGTAAAGTTCTTAGAATTTAAAATAAAATACAAATAATGAGCTGAGGGTGAGGATTGGGGGTGGGGAGGGAGTAAATTCCTGTGGAAATTCAGTCATGGTTGCAAATCTGGGGGGTTTTGGCATCACTTGCCACGCTCAGCAGAAACAGTGGGGAACTCAAAGCTATTAACCTTCCCCTTTTTTGGTTGTTTCTTTTTTAACCGAGGTCAAGGAGATTTCAGGGAGCTGTGGGGTAGGAGAAGGGCTGAGGCTCTTTTTTTTTTTTTTCTTTTTTTTCCCACCTACTGATCTTGACAAGGGACCCGCATCCTGGAGGAGAGAGACATTTGTCTGCTGGGTAAACAAACGCTCACAAGGCTCGGTAAACCCCTGGCACTGCAAATCCTGAGATTAAAAGATTACAGGGGGATCAGGGTGGTAAAAGAAAATAATCATATGCATCTGTTTCTTGCTCTGCTCATGGCTGAACCCTGAGGGTGATGAGCCCTGGGTCCCCAAGAGCGCGGTGCTTCACTACGTCCACCCCCCGTAGGGTGGGTGATGCCCCCCCGTAGTTGATATCGAGAGACAAGGGTGGGTGAGCCCATGGGTAGTTTATCCCGCAGCCCGAAGGCTCTATGGGTACCTGCACCCATGAAAAGCACCAACACCAGGAACTTCTGGCCCTTGGCGCATCCACGCGCCCATAAACCCTTTACCTCGTGCTCCTGGACAGCCTCATCCACGGGAACCACGGAACGGTCGCGGTGCGCCTCGGACCTGTCGTGCACCACGCGGATAAGCCTTTCCTCATCTCTGCAGAAGAGTTTCGGGGCTTCCTGGTGCTCCTGGCACAAGTTCTCCCCTCCTTCCGCCTCTCCGACCGGGTGCAGGTTCGAGCTCTTGGCTGCTTCAATGAGGTTGGCCAACTCCCAGTTGGGGCGAAGGGTCTTCCGGGGCTCCGTCTCCCGACACCGGGGGCAGGAGAAGTCAGTGGTGGGTCCTTCCCGGTTCGGAGTGGTGTGCACCTGGCAAAAGCTGTGCCCGGAGCAGATGGACACGGGGTCCTGGAAAACTTCCAGGCAGATGGAGCTGGAGGCTTCCCACGGATATCCTGGCCGCCATGGAGGGTGATGGAGTCGATTTCGCTTTCAGATGAGCAGGAAGGAGGGAGAATTCTCTTCCTGATTCGAAGCCACGGGCCAAACTGAGACCCAGCCCCTCTCTAGGGGGGGCTTGAGGCAATTTATTTACCGACATAGCACTGACGGTGCTGGGAAGCAGCAGTTGGTCAGCTGAGAAGGAAGAGAACTGGAGATGTCATCCCATTTTTTACCCTTTCCCAAAGGCACTGGGGTTTTTTTCCAGTCTCCGAAGCCATGAGTCGGTGGAGACCTCTGGATCTGGTGACTCTACAGCAGCTAGAACAAGGGTTTCCCACCCCACTGGCACCTGAGAGGGGTTGTGGCACATTTGGGGTGGGAGACAACCACTGGCTGAAGGTGTCCTGAGATACCAGGAGCGATCGGACCCGGCCAGGGCTTGGGAATGACCTCCGGACCCCTCAGGACAACGCCTGTAAAACCATGTGGGAGGACTCTCATGTCCCTTGGGTGATTCTAAGGGTTCAAGGGTCCAACTTGCTGCAGGGCAGGGCCTTCTGGGCTGTCAGAAGAAATTTCTGCTACTCCTGACCCCTGGGACATCAGCTTTGCCCTTGGGGTGAGGTGGGACATCGGAAAACACCCTGCAGGGACTGCTACGGGTCATGCATCCCTGGAGACGGCTGGTGTCTCCGAGCAAGGATGCTTTTCCTGCTCTTTAAATGCCTTTACTTTCCAAAATTGTTGTCCCCTTCTTCCCAGCATCATCCATTTCCCATTGCCTTCCAACCAGTTTCCAGCCCGGCCGGTTTTCTGGCACCAAAGCAGGAAGAGCTGTTGCCATTCCCTCCCATCGCAGCTGCAATGAAGCAAAAAACGCCTTAATTTGAGCTTTACAAGGAAGGGGTCACGAGAGGGCAGCAAAGCCGTCAGGGTTTGCCACGCTGGGGGTGGCACAGCCCCGTTTTTCCCAGTTTCTCTCCAACCAGAAAGAGCAAACAAGCCCTTGAAATACAGAAAGACACTTTAATGCCATCATTTTGTGTATAAAACTGCTCGCTAAGTTTCCTGACCCAAATTTATGTGTATAAATTGGGGATTTTACTCCTCCAGCCTCCCGTTTCTCCCACCCCGCAGCTCTGAGAAAGGCGGCTGAACCGTGAGGTTCCACGCCGAAGCCTTAAAAGGTGCCAAGACCGTGAGGTTTTTGGCTCGTCGGCGGTCTCGGTGGGAAAATAGCAGATATGACACTTAATTAGGAGGTATCCCCTTTTCCTTCCTGGTAACGGAGCCAGGAACCAGAGCCAGCTTCTGCAGCCTGGCAGGAACGTCGTCGTTGCACGTCAACGCTGTTGGACGTCAAGGTAAGGAAAAATTGGGAAGGGTGGGAGCAGAGTAGAAGGGATTAACGCTTGCTAATCAAATCGGTGTCCCAGGGGTCTCTGCACACATTATAGGCTTCATTTTCCTACTCTTCCCGGCGTGACATCCAGGGGTCTGCCCAAGATGTTCCCGAAACCAGGATTCATGCGCCCCACTTTATTCTTTACCATCCGGGGAGCCCCGGTGTGGTTTCCTGGATCCAAAGGCTTGGTCGGAGCATGTAACGTCCATCCGGCTGCCCGTGCTGCCTCAGGGAGCCAGCCACTTTATTCTTTACCATCCGGGGAGTCCCGGTGTGGTTTCCCGGATCAAACCAAAGGCTTGGCCGGATCATGTAACGTCCATCCGGCTGCCCATGCTGCCTCAGGGAGCCAGTTGGATCCTGGACTCCCAAACCCAGAAGAAAGGCAGGATTTTCTCTCCGTTGAAAGGAGTTGGAGGAAAAGCGAAAGCCAAGGTCTCGTTATCGGCGTCGAAGAAAGCCACGTGTCCCTTCTCGTAATCCAGAGACACCCGGATAGTCCTTGGCCTCCCGTTCAGGAGCTGAATGGTTTCGAAGGAGGTGAAAGCTTGAAACTTGTCCCCGCAGATGCCAACAGCCCAAATCCCCTGGGAAGGGTCGAGGTTAATCCACCCCTTTCTCCAGGCTGAGTCTCTGGCCACCCCCACAGCCCAAAATCCCCTGCTCCCCAGCTGCACGTCCCAGTAGCGCCTCCCCGCCGTGAAGCCTTCGCATCCCAACACCGAGCAGTAGGTATCAAATCGCTGCAGGTTGTTGGGCAAATCCT